GAAAGAATTTAGATTTTTCTACATATGTATTAAAATAAATCAAAACACCCAGTCGATTTTAAAAATTCTTTAACTATCAAAAAGTTACGTTACCAGTAACATAGGCTGTATAATTTTTAATTTTATGTAATCGAATTCGCGAGCAACATCTACTTTTTTATAATCGCTTTTCGTTATTTAGTGTGGGCATACCCTTAACATCTCATACAAGATAATTATTTTGGCGGAGATTGCCTAAGATCAGTATGTACACCTGCTCATAACAATGGTATTGAATAATTATGACGAAATAAACATAGGAATAATCCTACCAATATTATAAATGCGAAAGTTTGAATGGATGTTCGTTAGAGTTTGTAACTGCTGAACGGATCTCGAATGAGACATGGTCTGGAAGAACACAGGTTACTCACTAAGTTTTTTAAGCTTCGCGCGGACAGAGACGCGGGCGAGAGCTAGTTTTAAACATAGAACACAAGTTAACATAAAGTAATTTGTGTTTTTGTTCTAAAAAAATAAGCAAAAAAAGAAAATATGACATTAATTAAAATTGAATCTGTGTTGTTTGAAATTCAGTAAAAGCTTACAAAGGTTGGGAGAAAACTGGACCTACTCATAAAAAAGGAAAAGGAAGAAATACATTAAAAAGTTTTCTGTTATTTGGAAATGTTGCTCTCGACGAATTTATTTTCCACGCAATCCAGTGAAGGAAGATTATTCCTCGATGTTCGTTTCGTGATTCATTTTAAAATAAAAAGGAAGAATGTTTTTAAATTTATTTTTAATGAAATTCCCTTTTTAACACTATACTATTTCGCTTAACCTGATTTGCATAGACTAAGTAAGGCTGTTTCGGTTACGAAAAAATGGTTGATTTTGCCAAAAATCGTCATTCTTTTGTCATGTTACAAGTCGCAAGAATATAAGAACCCCAAGTTTTCTACGGTTAAAATCATTCCCACATTTGCCTCCTGTGAGGTTTGAACTCACGACCCCTGGTTTACAAGACCAGTGCTCTACCACTGAGCTAAAGAGGCTGAGGTACTCCACTTTGAATTCAAATACTACTATCTATGTTAAGATATTAGGTATACTCCAACAAAGACATCTGGTCCGGTGAGAGACAATTTGTACCTACATTGGCAAAGTAAAATGGAAAAAATACACGACATCGCAATTCACAAATGAAGTACGAAAAGATGTAATTAAAAAGTTTATGCACCCGAAACCAAATTGCATAACATAATATACTCGAAACGGAGATGTAAGCATCGAGAAGAGACACGTTAGGACGCGCCAAATAAAGTCGTGGCCTCTGCCTACCCCAATGGGTTTGAGCTAGAGTTGTCTTTACCTATCTATAGTGTTATAAAATAACGTGAAAAACATCAACTTGTTATTCAAATGTGATATATGATGAATTAAGACAGCTATAATTTGATTCCAGTCCGTCAACCCTGTGATATGTCAGTGTTAAAATTGAAACGAAGAAACCTGATGGCTGAAAGAAAATACAATTTCAATATCACCCCTTTTATTCTAAGTTTGTTACCCTCAAAGGTAAGGTGAATGGAAGGTCAATGTATCGTTACAAAGTTTCAAGTTCTAGATAGGGTTGTACAAAATATTATATTCTTTTCTTAAAATTTAATATCGTGATTTTTAATGTTGGAAAAAGAATTGTTTAACTAAAGGAATTTATACGTATAAAAATTCCTGTAGATTTTTAAATATTCATACCAATCATAGCGATATAATAAATGCGAAAGTTTAGATGGATGTTTGTTAGAGTTTGTAGCCTAAACGACTGAACGGATTTCGATGAAATTTGGCATAGATGTAGAGGATAGTCTAAGGAACACATAGGCCATTTTTTAAATCTTTTTTTTTTAATTTCACGCGGATGGCGACGAAGGCGAAAACTAGTGTATAATATAGTAGAGAAATACTGATAATTTTAGATCATATTAATTTTTTTTTGTAATGAGACGTCGTAAATACATCGTATCAGTATTGGAAACCGAAACCAGGGTGAGTCGCTAGTTTCTAAATAATTGATTAATTACAAACTGGTACGTTAATATGAAGCCCCTAATTCATTGTTACTTTGTAGTCTTGTAATTAGTTTTCAATATTCTAGATTTATACACATATTGAGTTAAATGTCCTTTAAAATACTATTAATTATAATGAGTAATTAAATTAACATATTGGGTACAATAATAATATTAATTTAGGCTGGATTCATGCTAATTTCATACATGAATATCAATAAGTTATTGAACATACATTCATGGATGTTATTGAAGTTTATTGTTATTTTACTACAAGATTTCAGCGACTTCGTGTTCGTGGAATTATAAAAAAAACAAAAGCAAGTAGTCTATGTGTTCTTCTAGACTATCCTCTACATCTATGCCAAATTTGATCGAAATCTGTGCAGCACTTTAGGCTACAAACTCCAGCAAACATCCATCCATCTAAACTTTCCCATCTATACTATTATAATAAAGCGTATACACACACTGCTTTGTTGCCTAAGATGTTAGGAATCACAGCATAGTTTTGAATAATTCTTCTTTTAATAAAAAGCCCTACACTTACGTCACGTTTTAGGCTATATATTTTTACGCCATTAAACTTAGGGGGTAAATATTTTGGAAAAAAACCCTAATGTGGGAAAGAGAAGTAAGATTTGATGAGGGCACAAAGGTTAAGACTGACACTGGTCGCGTACGAATACGTAAACATTTTACTGGCATATGTACGAACTGCGCCAGTAGCTAGCAAGTGTGATTAGTTGGCATGTTAGCTACTACCCCATTTACTGGAATGTGTAATCTTATATTATCATCCGGTCAAGAGATAGAAAGAAACGTTTTCGGATTATTTATAATAATTGCAACCCTCTGGCACACATATTTGGGTTATTAAACCCATAAAAATTCCCTTGGTTATAGCCACAATATCATGTGTTCTATTGTTGAAAGGATTCAAGACATTTTTATGTGTATTATTAATGTTATGGACCATTCAATGAATGCCCTTTCTTTAATTTAGTTTATTTGCTCAACTTGAATGTTTTTTTTTCAGGTTACGTGCTCTTACATTATGTACAGCCTTGAGGTTATACAAAGTCTTGGGGTGGTTCAGCGTCATCGCCTGAATGTCCTGAATATACGTCCCCACCTAGAGACTCGAAGTCTTCCCTAAGTTAGGGTGACTAGGTCTGAGTCAAGGCTATCCCAGTGCGCGTTGGTTGACTTCTCCAGATCTTTGACTTTCTGGTTATCAACCGATATTTTAATCTCCCACTTTCATCGTTATATCATCCTATTTTAAGCAAGTCCCGAAATAAAATCCATCTTTCTTTTGTTTAGCAAAAACTTTTATCAAGAGTGAAAAGCTAAATCTATACGAGGCACATCACTGAACACTCAGTCGTTCGTTCATTCATTCGCACGACTGTCAAGCAGTGAGTGAGTAGTGAACGAGTCAAGTCGAGCTAAATTAGACGTACAGGGAAATGCACTCTATCTCGAATTGCGAAGCGCTTTAATTATAAAAAAAACTTCCATTTAACAAACGACATACGAAACTTGAGTAATATTTTTATCTTTATTTCATTCGAGTGTTTGTTGCCGAAATATCTTTTATTTTGAAGTTATGAAAGGGAAAAAAATATTTGCGTTCCCAGATTTTTATGTGTGCTTGGCTATTGAATTGGGAGATGGAAAGATACGTTATTACGTGAACTTTTATATTTCTGAAGTGGATGAATTAAATACATGGTAACCGAATTGCGAGCGTATTCATAACCTTATTTATAACAATATTTATGTAATATATACCACAACCACTATGTAAAATATTAACTAGTATAGCATATTTTAAAATATATGATTGAACAATCGCATAACTATTGCGAGATTGTCGATTGTTTCGCAGCCAATTCAACTGTTTAGTTGCACAACTAAAAATCGAGTAGTGTCACCTTTATAAGCTCATAGGAATCAATGCGCG